GCCGTCTACTTCGCAGATTGTTTCACTAATGCACTGTCTTTTGGGGCCTGTGGCACGGATGAGCTGGAATAGTTGCCGGGTGTTTCCACACCCAGCCGCTGATTCCATCTCTCCAGGCCTCTCTGTCGTCTCTCAAACTCTTTGTGAGTTCACGCTTCATCGAGATGCGCTGTTCTTTGTACGCGCAGTCTGTCGGGATTACCCGACGCGCGTTGAGGAGTCTGAGAGAGTTGGAGACCTAGTGGTTTACAATTCGGCGGGTTAGGCCACAACTGTGTAAACCGGCTCAGTGCATTGCGTTTCGAATGGTTGTCCCGTGTTGATCTACGCTACTTGGTGGGGTAGTAGTTAGCATTGCGACCAACTCGTTTCGATAATCGGCTAGTACGGCCGGGTCAGAGAGCCTGACGACGTCGAGCTGTTTGCATCGCTACCAAAACGTATCTCGGCTGTACGATGACGCAATTTCTCTTGTGGGAACCGGCGACCTTGGTAATGAGATTGGGAGTAGAAAATTGCCTACCGCCTACCACCAAAGTTGCTAACAGAATGCCCTCTAACCCCGAAGTGCAGTGGTCACCGACTGGAATCTTCCACTAAAGCCAATCTAATCATATATGCAGACGATCAAACAGCTGTTCTGTATTGCTCAAACTGGTAGGTGGGAGGGTGGGATGCATAAGGTATGTCGTGAAGTTGCGCAAGAAATCAAATGGTACGATATCAATGTGAACGAACGGTCGAACAACTCTGTCAGATAAGTATATCACGGTGATGTGTATGAAGGACGGCTGGTGGAATGTAACTCATCTTAATATGATCAAAGTCTGCAGCAATAGGTTTGTTTGCTGTTATATCAATACGCTAACTAGAAATGATGTGAGGAAACTGCTTCGGTAACCAGTTGATGAGAACGTATGTATGTATTTACAAATGAAACCACGTGAACTGAACACAACACACCACCAATTGAACCAGTTATTGAAAGTACATTCGATTGGTAAATAAAAGTGCACCACGATCTCTTGATTAATCACATAGTGAGTGAATGAAATGATTGGAAAGGAATGCTGGTTATTCTCCGTAAAACCATTACAATATAATCATCGAGACTAAGGACGTACAGAATTAATTCAGTCATATACGAACAACCAAAAAATAGAACCAGTTAGTGGAAATTCGAATTGCTGCCGAGGGAGCATATGAGAAGTGGGAGTATATGTTCAACCGATCCATGACGATTGTTGTCTGAGAACTGGAAAAAGCACTCATAAGATTACAAGAACCGCAAAGGAAGGAAAGGATTGTGTGCAAACATTATTAGTTCCGAGTAAAGCTTTCTTGTTCCGAACAGATTTCCAACTTGACCATTTTGCCCCGTTCATTCAAGAACACCACGGGCCAGGTTTTAAGCAGTCAACCACGGCGGCATAAACTAACCTCAATTACAGTAAATTCATATTCTATTACACTCGTGAAACATAGCGAATCTATCCATGCTAATCCTATTCTATCACAGGGTCTCCGATGTTCTGCCTACAAGCATAAAAAACTAATCAAAGCCACCAATCACACCACCTATCCGGTTGTATTCATTCATATCAGTCCCATCGCACAGAGCATGTATGGTGTACGCACGCACATGGAACCGCTTATTACCGTCTCTCATTTACCGCGTCAACACGGGACGGCCAGTTTAGTTCACATATGACCTCGCACAGCCCACGAAACATTTAGTTTTTGTATGTGGTACACCTTGATCAAAACACAACAACATAGAGAAAATCCGGAGATGAAAGTCAATCAGGACAGGAGTGGTGCGTTTTGAGCGAGTGCTACGGATGTGATGCACGGAAATGAAGCACGAGACAGATATAAGCTAGAATTTAAACCAAACTGTTTGGACAACTGATCCTTCTTCCACCTGCAGAGCAAAATTTCGCGCAAAGCGCTCTTGCTTCAAGTCGGGTGGACCAGAGTGCGATGTACAACAAAGAAGACTGTTACCCACAAGTTTACCAGAAAAACGAGCAGGGGAAAAATGGGCAACATGAAATCGGAGATTGACAGCATATAACTGCATGCATGTGACGGATTCTTAGACACTTGCAAACACTAAACTGGTTAGCAAGCAACTAGATACGCAAAAGTGAATAGATGCACGAGCATCACTCGGTGTCTCGAGTGATCCTGAGGACACGAATCGGGATGTGTAATGTGATAAACAGAATCAAGGATTGCAACATTTCATGCGAAATCATAGTCTGATCAGGCTTGCCTTTCGACCACTAGGTGAACTGGCTAATAGGTGGTGACATGCGTCACACAAACCCCAGCCAGTGCGATCCAGAATTTCCGATCCTATGTACACGCCCGTTACCGAATACGCCGCATCTGACCTCAGTAAGGCTCGATGGCAAACCGAAGTCGATTCAAAGCCGAGCTTACGGCTCATCGTAATCGGCGGTTAAAGACAGTGATATGGTTAAAACTCGCAAACAGTGGCGCTCGTGCATCTACTCCTTATTCCTTAGTTCATGTAAATTCTCTCGCCTATCTTTGACTCTGCTCGCAATAGCCCACTCTTCCTTCTGCTCTTTTATCCAAATGGGCGGTCATGAGACAGCACCGGCACACAAAAGTGCATGGCTAATGGTTGCAGAAACTGAAACGTGTGCTTACCGGTTGGTTGTATTGCGATGAGTTAAGGTTAAGGTTGTTTTATCTGAGAATTTCTGCTTACTCAATGGAAATCTATTTTGGCCTACCACTGCCGTTCAAAATTAACAACCTTCTTGGTTCCGCTGAGGTCATCGAATTCAACTCAACGGACGAAATCTGACAGGTGTATTATGCATATTTAGTGGTCACAACCCTTACTGTTTAGGAAAATCAAGATGGTGATTTTTTCTTGGTTCAATGCAGCAATGGCACAATCAAGATACGCTCGCACCTCCCAAACAGGTCATTGGATTTTCTGGTCAAGGACCGTAAAGAATCGTGAGAAAAATTAGAATTTTCCGCATACAGTATTTGGATACTTTGCGGATACAACGCACATTCACCAATGGGCAACGAGTCAAGAGCTGGAAACAGCAAGCCTACGAGAGAGGAGACGGTTGTCTAAGATATACNAGTGAAGTAATGATTCACAAAACCCCGACTGGTATGAAACTCGACTGGACAGTTGGTGGGGTAGCGGTATTGTAGGCAAATTTGACGTGATGATGACCAAATTAAAACAACTGTGATTTTAACATCCAAACTGACTTCCACTCATTGAACTGGGCTGAGTAACTGGAGCTCAGTAGCATCTAGATACTTGTTGACCTACCAAAACAGAGCGGAGAAACTTCTTAAATCTAATAGAGCTCAAAGCCGTGCCTCAAATTATTAAAAAGAGACAGTATTCAACGTTTTTATTACGCCCCACAGCAAATCCTTGAGCAGAAAAGATGAAATTCATAGCGATGATAACCCACTGTGCTGTAAGACAGTCCAGTTCAAACCAAGGACTGACTATAGAGTGCCAGCGAAATCAAAGGGATCACCGCCGCCTACAAATCCATCCGAAGAATACTGACGTCACATCGATTCAGGATATGACCAAGACTCAGCCTGTGTGTGTGGACGATCTAACAGCACATAGCAGTGCATCCACGCGAACTACATTGATTGAGCAGACATTTGCATGATGTAAGGGAAGTTGCATGGATGTATTTCACAAAAGTCTGAGTTCACAATGTGAGTCAAACAAGTCACGGCACAAAAACTTTGTTGTGAAGAGCAAATCCACCAGTTGAATACTAATATTCCATAATAAAACATAAATTGAGAAGGATCTATGTGACAAAAAAATAGACAGAAAAACGGCACAGGATGAACTATTCAGTTAACTTACGGGGCCGACATTGAAAGACCTTTGCGAAATATTTCGGCGGCAGAGAACCGTTCGCATCGCCCTCGGTCAGAATAACCCGATTTGAGGACAGGAAAAATTTGTAACCGTCCCGAAGTGCGGCAGCCAAATCAATGTAGATGACCACATCCACACTGTTTCGCATTCCGCTAATTACGCCGGATTGACCGATCTCACCGGGAGCGAAGTGAATATGTGTTCGGTTCATTCGGTTCAACCCTTCCCGTTTGATTTGTTCCCAATTACGCCAGTAAGTGCCGTGAATGACCACAGGAAATTCCGAAGCATCGGTGATTGGGATTAACTCCAGGCCCTCAATCTGACATTCGGTTTCCGGATAAAAATGTAATAACAGGAAAGTCATAATGAAAATAGTGGTTGCATGATCATTTCAGAAGGTTGACCTGGTTGACCGTATGTATATGTACAAGGGTCTTTGAAGGAAGGTCGGACGTTCACTCGTTCAGTGTGAGAGACAAGCATAGGCAAAAAAACATTTCAATTATATACACGGTGTAAAATAGATTACAACCGCATTGCTACTTTTTCTTAAGCGAGGATCCGACGGCATCACGGATGAATCTGCCCCTAGACAACTTGCACAGTCCAGTGCTACATGATGATAAAGGTGACCTTGTTCAATGACTGATCAAACTCGTACACATCCGAATACAATCTGCGGATGTTTGCAGCTTTCTTGTTGGGAAGAGATCTCTGGTTAGGCAAGAACGAACCACAGTCTCGGATATCACCATTAGTTGTCTTCGACTGTTTATTTGGAGAGGTAATAACCATCAATTAATGTTCAACCATCTGAGTGACCGTTCTCTTTCCTACCACTTGGAAACACGCAGTGGCGTAGAGCTCCGCTGAGACTCGAGGTGGCATATTGCCTCCGGGGCTTTTCTTTTTTAGTCCTGAGCAGCAACTTTAACAAATAGCGTTGGTGAGGAAGCAACCACTTAAAGCATCCTTACCGGAGTTTAGTTATTTTCCCGTGTCGAACAATCAGACTTGATAGATATAAATGAATAAACAAATTTGTGAAACAGTTTTTCACTTCTTTTTACTGTCGGTGGTGATCAGACGGTAAGGGTAATTAAACTATCGCCCCGGAAAGAACATCCGTTCGAATCTTAAAACCACTACCTGACATTCCCCATTCTCTGTATGTTACATGGCAGACCTTTGACTGGCCACTTCCTCTACCTGAAAATTGTATCATTGTATACTCAACAAAAGGAAAGAAAAGTAAATCAGACATAGATAACCGGGATCTCCCGTTGATTTTCGGAGTTCGCGGTCAACAAACTTAGTGCACAGTATTCTCCTACATCTATGAATTACCTGTTCAAGCCCTCTAACTTGATAAGAAATGATAAAAAGAAGACTATTACCGTGTGTCAGTAGGCTACCCTATCCTTCAGTCATGACGGTGTCACCAGGACTATTATGATACTGCATCGAATGGCAACAGATCACACCCCGGAAAGAGTAGAATGGTCATGAGATTGATACAGTTTTCCTGATATCAACCAACTTATTCTCACCCTCAAAGGCTATGCGGATCACCAAAAGGTTAAGAAATATATGGGATTCACTAATTCCTTTGATGAAATGTTGATAAACAAGCCACCTTTATGTGGGTCGGGCAGCTGATCCACATTTTGTTCCAGACATTGTTCCCATTCAAAGAAGCATTATTATTATCCTCGTAAAACGAAAAGCAGTGAATTGAAGTTTGCTGATCAATGTCCAGCTCACAATCGTACAAAATAAAAATGTATACGGTGGTTAGGAATTGAGCCTGTTTCGGGAGAAAGGAAAATGGACCATTATCGTCAACACAGAGCAAATGATCCAACGATGTATGCTCCTCTATTCCAGCACTCTGGTCTAAGAAACGAAGGCAAGAATGACAATGCCGCCCTCCTCACTATTTCCACCCAACCAGCCACAGAATCTTTTAGACCCCAGCCTTGAATAGAGAAAACTTACTCTACCTAATCGTCCCGTACATTACATCATTCCTCTTCTCCACGTAATTTTCCCCAAAATTGAGAGCCAACTGTGAACAAAGCATGGTGCAGTAGACGAAGGTCACGTGTATGCAATACATGTCCAAACCAGTGAAGCCTACTCATTCGAATTCGGTGCGATAATGATTTTTCCACCAGAACAGTCCCAAATGAACAACAACCCACCACGACGTTACTAAACCACTAGCTGTATCGTACTTACGTCAAACTACACAATCAGGGACTTGTAACTGTATGGCAGAACTGGCCATACTGTGGACCAATGCAGGCCATCTTTTAGCTTCAATGTGTTTTAACCCAGCGTACGCAGCCCATACCTTGAATATACGTGGGTTTACTGCCTTAACCAGACTATCGCCACCCATCACTATCTATAACCAAATTCTGACCATTTAATTCGAACGCAAGGGCGATTGAAACCTACTTTTGAAGCATCAAATTGAAGGAAAGAAACGTATGACGAAAGGAGAAACACAGCTTGTTAGTCCGTCCAATATGCTTTGCACAGCCTTCACAAACAGAGGACATCGTTAACGTACTCTAACCACGAATTTTAAAACGTAGCTCTCTCTCTCTCCCTCGAAAAGGAAACGTTGTCAGTCAAAAAGCAATAAAAATGAATGATTCTCTTTGCCAAGTGTGTGCGGTAGGTATGAAAACGGAGAGCAGCAAATAGGTAACGGTAAATTCGAGCGTATCTGTTAACTGTCGGTAAAAATCGATGACATACGAAACAAGCAAACAGGGTCAGGTGTTTAGTATTGGCTGAAAATATCAACAATATCGCGCACACCAACAAATCGTTTAAAGTACTAGGACAATCAGTTTCACACATTAAATTCGATTTCATTTAGACGTTACTCGCGATATGGAGTCAAAACAAATGCAATCCCATCTCAGGTTGTAGGGGTCAACTACGAAAGCGTTGAGTATGAACTGGGGAAGGGGATCCGTCAGGACGATCAGACGCGACAGAAAAAAACATACAGAATATCAGTTTTCAAAGTGCAAGGGATATGGTTCAATGAAAAGTATGAAACCAGTTGAGATTCTTATTTCACCTTGAATCACACGATTACAGAAATAAATAAACGTAAATGAGGAGAACGAAGGATATCTATCGGACTCCTCTCCAAACTGAACGACTACTTCTGCGTTTATATACAGAATTTGTTGAGACACTGACAGCTATACATTGAATACAGTTCGGTTATTTTCCCGTGTCGAACAATCAGACTTGATAGATATAAATGAATAAACAAATTTGTGAAACAGTTTTTCACTTCTTTTTACTGTCGGTGGTGATCAGACGGTAAGGGTAATTAAACTATCGCCCCGGAAAGAACATCCGTTCGAATCTTAAAACCACTACCTGACATTCCCCATTCTCTGTATGTTACATGGCAGACCTTTGACTGGCCACTTCCTCTACCTGAAAATTGTATCATTGTATACTCAACAAAAGGAAAGAAAAAAAGAAAAAGGGATAGGCAAATGAACAAACTACTTTTAGCAAGGGATAAGCGATCAATCAAAGGGATCCCGTGGAATGCAAAGAAGCGAGAAAATTGGGCGGTCGGATATCAACACACGACCTACGAGGTGATGGGATGGGGATAAACAGTGCTTGACCCCGGCCGTCTGGTGTAACAGAATGAGGAAATGCAAGAACAACTATTGCATAAATGTTTGCTTACTGATGGTTTCGTCAGCAATCGCTCACCTTGACACTATGCCCCTGGAAAGCACGAATTCGTCGCCTGCCAGTCTCTGGATCTACAGATAATTCAAATCGTTGTTTGTTGTTATTCTCAACCACTCGCTGCACATCCTCAACACTGATACCACTGAAGTCCTGAAGTCTTAAAACGTCGTCCAAGAAGAGATAACCACCTGAATTGTAGAAACGATGGAGATGGTCACAGTGACGCTGGTGAAACCTACCGACGCCGTAAGTCAGACCGACTTTTTGTGCGCCATGGCGCAAAATCCAGGACAGCTTTTTTGATATCATGACATCACGGTCTTTCTGTGACGGGAGAGAATATTTGTTTCGTTAGCTTGGTGTGATTAGGATTAACAAGAACAGTACGCAAGCAACGTTGTCATACTTACATTTAACTCGAGTGGCTTGAGACGCACTTTCGAACCACGGATACTGAAACGCAGTTTCGAGTCCCCGTGTACAACTTCAACAATGTCCTGATATGTACAATTCAGATTGACAAACTCGGGAATCAGAATGATTTCATCGATCAACAAATAGTTCTCTGTTCACAGAGAAATCAATAAAGCCGCGTTTACCAAAACGGGCAGAATAGAGAACAAAACATACCAGGTAGTGGAGTGAACTGCACATTGTGCACCAGAGTGCCCCGAAGCACTTGGTACAGCAGATCTCCAATCACCTCCTGACGTGATTTCGGATACCCAGGCTGAAACCGAGGAAAAAAAGTGGTCGGTCATTGAACGATAAAACAAGTCTCATACAGTCCGGATGCAGAATCGAACGTATTTGCAACAAGCGTGACAAAGCTGCTGCTATTAACGATTATTCACACATGGTATTGATGCATCCTGCGGCCACTAGAATCCAAAAAATACGAGAGCGGTATACATGGAATATTACCAGCAAAACGGATTGAACGATCGATCAGATCTCGAAGGTGCTACAATAAACAATAAAGTTCAGCGATGAGGACGGTAACGGTAAGCCCGGTAAAGCCAAACGATCTCAAGATAGAAGAAATCACTACCCATTGAGTAATCGATAAGCTTTAGATAAGTACCGTAGAGGACGTACCTATTTTAGTACAAGCACTATTCCGTGTTGCATCAGATTAGGAGTCGCACTACACGTGCGACTATCATTGTGAATACAAATCACAGAAAAACGTAGATTATTGCCAAATATCTAGAGAAGACATTTGGAATGCAACCGATTTCTCAGGCTAAATCTTGAGATTCAAAAAAATATGGAAACGTGAAGCAATAAGCAGGAAAGATCCCGGTCCTCGTGGACTGACAGCCAGTGGTAGACTCATGCAAATTCTGTTTCTGTTTTTAACGAAACTAGTAACTGTTAGTTCCACAAAGGTAAAAATTCTTCAAGCATTAAACCCCTTTTCAAGCGTAATACAATGGTGTTTGTTTGGGCTCCGGCATCAACGTACACCGGTTCGGGAATCGAATTCGGTCATCGACACCCCGCGCCGATGACACACCGTTTCTCTAACCTCACGGTTTAACTTTATGTTTTGGAAGTTTGCTTGTTACGATAGTCACCAGACGGTAGTTTGTGATAACAAGTTAGTAACAACAACAAACTCGGTCAAACCAGATAATATTGGGTAGAGGGTGAATGGGAATCGGATACGAAGGTTAAAAAATGGGGCCAATGATCCGCGAGAAAAAAAGAATTTGATTTAAAATAACTGGCGATAAACAGTAGGTGAAGTAAGACAATTGGCTCAAATGATTGCAATTCAAGCGTGAGGAAGCGAAGTAACCAAGTGAAGTAAATTACACGCGACATGCGATTGATTGAAGGGAAAAGAAAAGTGCTTGTGATAAATCAAAGCAGAATGATGAAAGTGATTCATCGTGGAATGTGACAGATGAGATCACGGCAAGAAAATCACATGGAGATATTCAAAGCACGGGGAAGGGCGATGGAGGCAAAACTAAATGTCACAAGCGATTAAGTTCAGCAGTGCACTTCTAGCCACCAAAATGCGAAATGTGAGTTCACGCCAGTCTTGAGTATATTTCTATTGAGTGCAATCGAACGACAGAGGGGAAAGAATGCGCCTTAGTTACAAAAATTTAGTGACAACAGTTATTAACCGACGACCTCAAAACATGTAACGATGATTAATATTAGACTACAGTGGGGAAATGATCACATTGTATCAGTAACTACTACCAAAAGCCGATTGCGAGAATGAAAGTCTAACCAGCAACCTTAGTGACTAGTTCAGTTCAGCTCTAACAACCATTAACCATGCACTTTCATACGCCGCTTTTGGTAGCTGTTTTTTGGTTGTCCATTTGGATAAAATAGCAAAATGATGCTTAGAATGTTGAGAGCAGATTTAAGCGAAAGGTAGCACATTTTCATAAACTGAGGTTACAAGATTAATGAGAAGATGCATGAGCGCCACTGTTTACGACCAGCCAACCATATCACTCAGTGTTTCTAACCATCGGCTATGATCATCCCGAGGTCCCCAGCCAGGGAGCCTAATGGAACCTACGTGACCCAGACTCCAGGTTTGGGTTTTCATACCCTCATTCCAGGTCTTAGCTTCACTGCCCTTCACCTTTTTCCAACCGCTACCTGCCTCGGCGAACATCGCTCGCCGTGGCAACCTATCTGGTGACATGCGCAACATATGCCTCAACCAACATAATCTATAGAGGTCGACTACCTGTTCCAGAAGCCGACGGTGATTACCTAAAACTCTACGCCAAACCTCAGCATTGGTCGTCCGGCTGCCCAACCACATTCGTGCAATGCTGCGTAAACAGCGGTGTTCGAACACCGACAGTCTATCCTTATCCTGTTTTCCTGATGACCAAGTTTCTGCGCCATATAGTGGAACTGGCCGAACTACTGCAGCATACACTCGACCCTTCACAGACAACCGGATGTCGCGACGGTGCCACAGATGTCTCAAGTTGGCAAATGCCAACCGAGCCTTCTGTATGCGAGCAGACACTTCATCCGTGATGCGTCCACCGGGTGAGTGGTGCAGTGGTTTGTTCTGTGTCACAGGCGTGCTTTGGACCCTGTGGTCCGAGGTTCGAGCCCCGTCACCGCCACCCAGCTTTGCTGTCACCCAGTTTCATACCACGCTTGACCTATCGGGGTGTTATGTGGTTCGCCACTTCAAGTCTCGGGATCAGGTCGCCGGTTACCATCACTGAACACCAGGCCTTCGTGACTATGGGGCTTTCCCCGTCTGTTGTTCATCACACACTGATGTGTAATAAAAAAAAGCTGCCGAAGTAACAAAACTTATCTACTTTCTCTACTACTTCCCCGGTCAGTGTGAGGCTGGGTGCTGGACCAATCCAGTCTTGAAGTAACATTTTGCACTTTGAATGTGCAAAACGCATACCGAACCTGATTACACTAGCACTCAAATTATCTAGAGAGGTTTGCAACTTACCTGGATCTTCACTCAGCAGCACAATGTCATCTGGATACTGTAGATCCGACAGCATGCCACCTGGGAGTAAATCGATACCGCTATCCGCACACGAGGATAGGACTGTTTCCGTAATAAGATATATAACAAAGTTAAATAGAAAAGGAGTGAGAGAGAGCAGCCCTGACGAACACCACTTTCCGTGGTGAACTCGGGCGAAAGCGTGCCGTAAGCTCGGATTCGGCTTCGACTATTATTATTATAGAGGGATTGTAATATTGAAATAAACTTCTCGGGCACACCCTTCAGGGAAGGGCAGCGCCAGAGTTTAGAGCGGTCAACTGAGTCGAAAGCCGCTTTCAGGTCGAGGAAGATGGAAATGGTGGGTCTACGAAAAGAGTGTCTGTGTTCTAGGATTTGACGAAGAGTAAAGATGTGGTCGATACAACCTCGACCAGGTTTAAAACCAGCCTGGTTCGCACGTGTGGACTCTTCATGAGCGGCAGACAATCGACGGAGTATGATCACAACGAGGAGTTCATCCAGTTGTGCTTTACAGCACTATTAGAAAAACAGGGTAGGAATAGACTGTTGGTGTTTGGAAAGCGCTGTCTACGCAATATTGCAGGAATCTGGTGCGTAACCAGACACGCAGTGCTGAGGTTAGGCACAGAGTTTTAGGTAACCGCCTCCGTCCACTTGAACAAGTGGTCGACCTCCTTAGGCTACGTGGTTTGGGTCATTTTCTACGCATGTCGCCGAATAGTTTTCCACGGTGCATGATGTTAGCCTAGGCAGGTAGTGTGCGGAAAAAACCAAGGGTTGTCAAACTGAGACATTGCTTAAGGCTATGAAAACCTTGACCTGGAGACTCGGACTTGGATGGATACCTCGAGATCACTGTAATCAATGGTTAGGGACACTGAGTGATACGGCTGGGTGTCGTAAACAGTGGCGTTCGTTCGCCTCAATTTTTCTGCAAGCTTAGTCTACTGAAATTCTCCATTCTCTCTTCGATTATAATTCCAAATTTCCTGTCTTTCCCCTAATGATCCATCCAAATGATGAGTAAAAAGAAAGCAACCGAAACAGGCGCACGAAGGCTCATGGTTAATGGTTGTGCAAGCTGAACTAGAAACGCGGATACCCTCGGGTTGAACAGAGCTGAATGCTACCAGGGTTGTGGATAGGGGAATAGTTTCACCGAAGAAGGTTAGCTGTGAATAAGTTGTGGTATACCGCAACAAATGAGCAGTCGTGAACAAACGGCGGCGGTACTACCAGGGTGTAGTGTGTTTCATGTTGGACACCTGGCTCCTGAATAAAAGCCACATAAGCCCAGTGACGGTGTCATGACAAAGGTCGATGTGACTAGCATTTTAAAACTAAACTCACTTCCGAGGCTAAGGAATACTTCCTGCTGCCTTGCAGTTCACACTTGGTTTTGCAAAGGCTAGAGGTGCGCCCTCAAAATGAAAAACACCGAGTGACGCTGGGGACGTCTGTCGTACGAAACTCCCCAGTAACTTCATGATCATGATCATGGAACCGGCTTATCCTTTCCAAGGAGCCGACCGTAGTAAAGTAAGTAAACGCGGACATTATCGGTACCCTCCATATCCTTTATTGCGGCTCATTGGATCTAATATTTTATGATTTTCCGTAGGAAGACAATTGTTTAATTTACTTAATGTGGAATATTTTCGGCTGATCATGATGAGATTGAAAACATGAACATTTTAATCCCAAATCTTCATGTGTAGTTTTCAGATAAGAATTTGATGCTCAACGCTGATGGTACTTATGTTTTCCTTTGTCCCACGATGACTGCCGTATCAGATGCATTTTTTCGCCAGATTCTTTAATTTTATCACGTTGGTGTCTACTATCAGATCCGAAATTGGAGAACAAAAGAGTTTTCTACCGAAAGAATTGAATCAATGATTTCCTTCATGTAGCTGTTTCTTTCGCGTTTATCTTTCCATTACTACTTCCTCAGACTAACTCTCACATCTTATTACTCCACAGCCGTCTAAAAAAGATTCCGCAACAAGTGCGTTCAGCCACTTGTGTTGTTTACCGTTACGAATGAGCCACCCAAGAGCCGTACCGTTAGGCTCGGTTGAACAATCAATGAATGCGGTAATTCGAGTACCACACCACTGTCGTATAAATTCCATTCCGTACACATTTGTGCCACTGTTTCTACTGT